TCCATTGATTGGTGCATAAGCTGACCACGAGAGAGGTTCAACTGTACTATAGTCATTTACATTTACATTATAGAGTTTTAGTTGTATCTTTGATAAAGTTCTGCGTACATTGTAAGTGCTCCAATTTTTTTCTTATTTCTCTTCCAATTTACGCCTCAGGTAAGGAGACAAACAGGCCAGTCATGGCACTTCAGAGGGTTATACAAGGTGAGACAAATAAAACTGAACTTTTGTGGTATCCATCCATCCCAAACTGGCTATGACATCCTTTTTCATTTGTAACAAAGTGCGTTAAACAAAGATATCATTTGAAGCCATAGTAAAGAACATCTTTCAATAAAATAATTAGTAGGGGATAACACAGAGTTTAAAGTCAGACAAAATCAGTGGTAGGCCGGGTTGTCGTGATTAACAGTGAAGTGCCGGCAACCGGCTTAAAAACCGGCTACTTTGAGGTTTGAGCCGTGAACTTTTTTGGAAAAAGAGGTGAAGTGATGGAATGAAAGCCTGAAATTGCCTGCAGCATTCGATTACCAAGCTGAATATTCTTATTACATCCTAGCTGTCTACTTTAAAACTTAATGAGAACCCTGAGTGGACAGTGAATTTTGAAGAAAACAGACTTCTAGGTTTTCTGCTCTTGTCTATAGGGTGTTGTTATATTGTTCCGCGATTTGCGACCTGAGTGGTCTTAGCAAATTTCCGTATCTGATGAAACATATCAATCGCAAACATAATGATTAATGCAGGAATCTTTGCGAAATCATGGCTCATTATTACAATGTACCGAAAGGGGTACGTATCAATTTCTATAGAGGCCATAAACCCCTTTCAACCCTGCCCCGGCCCAGGCTTAGCCTTCATTCCTGACTCCTCTCCGGGTACAAGGGCAGCAGGCTGGCGGAAATGTATGTTGGCATAATTTTTTTTCCGTTGCAGGGCTTTGGTGTGACGTGGTGTCGTACAATGGGTCTCATGTGTACGTATTTTGTTCTTCTGGATTCTGGAAGAAGACATTTGCCAGACCTGTTCAGAAGACCGATCTTGGGTCCCTTTCTTGCCTCGGGTATAGCAGCCACGTATCCTTTTCAATCGGTTTAATTTATATCACAGACTTGCTCCTGTCGTGTTATGTCTTAATCATTTCCTTCTTCCTCCCGTTTTTCCCCCTCCTTTTCTATCACTTCTCGCTGTCCGCTGTACTTAGTCCAAATGGAAGGATCATGCGCTGAGCAGTATCAAAGACCATCTTTCTAGAGTCGATAGCAAAATGACTCTTGGTTAAAGTAGTAAAGCAGAGTATTCGTAGAAGTAAGCCAAGACATTAACTTCAAAATCAAACGGGGAAAAATAAGGTGAAAAATATGCTGGCTTATGTAAGTTATAACAACGAAAAATCCATATGTACATGCAAACTGACAAGCAAACAAAGGAAGCTTACATTGCAAGTATTCTCGTGCGAAATAAGCGCGAATAAGTTTTGGGCGCGAAGAAAAACTTTCTTAACTTGCACCAAAGTTCCACGCATGGCTCGTAAAGGAGGCCTTTTACGCATGCTAAAATAAATGCGACCACTCCGACCATTTAATATAAATATACAGAAATGACTCTACTGCTGCCCTCCTGCTTCCAACAACAAAAGATATTGTTCTCAAAAATTTCTCAGGGAGTCCAAGAAGAATTTTAGTTCAATACTGTACAGAAAAAACCCTAGAAAAGCAGAAGATAGAGGGACAGACAAAAGTCTCGTCGAGCATATTTTACATGTTCTTACTGTACATTGTGATGCGTTCTCGTTCGTCGAACGCGATAGCTTTCCAGTGTAATTTGTCCTTGACATTTTGTCGTCTTGCTTGGTGGGTTGTCTGGCCGTTAGAGAACATGAAGTCACAGGTACAAGGGAATTACGGCAAGTATGTAACCTCCTCATTCTTTTTTCAACACCTCTTTTAAGACACATATCGTCCACTGGACGACGCCTTGTCTGGACAACTGAGAAGAAGGAATGGCTACTGAGTGATAAGGCCAATAATGTGCGTTTTTACCTTGAAGGTTAATCGTAACTTGTTAGATCTGCCATCAACATTGTCATAACCATCATCACCATCATCATTGTCATCATCATCATCGTCGTGGTCTTCCAGGTTGTCTTGGTTATCACTTTCTCTCCCAATCACTTGTGAGGAGACGTGAAATTAACTCTTCCAAATAGACTTTCCACGCCATAATGAAGGCCTCGGCCTAAAATATCATATTTCAGTCTCTTTAGGCCCTCTTTCTCCCTGCTCGGTTTCCAAAGACTAAGCACATTCAAATTCAACAAAATTCTATCCTCTTGGAATACGTAACTGGGTCGCACCAAGAATCGTTGAGCTGTTACTCAAAGACCCTGCCGGTAATGTAAACCCAAACCAGCCCATAAGAGTTAAAATTTTAACCTTGAGTTAGCGTTTATCGAGATTCGAACAACTCGTCTCCCACCGTCTCTTTGTAACTTGCATGCAGTATTGCTGTAATCTCTGCATTGCTCTTTTTAATTGCTTCCTCGTTACTCCGACCTCTGGCTTTTTTTTTTGCTGGCGCACGATGTTAAAGAACTTGTAAAGAAAGGATATTTAGTTTTATTCCCTACTGTCAGTCAGTCAATTAAACGTGCAATCAAAATTAGCTTTGTTAACAGCCAGTCTTGATTTAAACTCAAGGGACCTTCCTGTGGTGGCTCGTATGAGGCTAGTGATTAAAGAGAGGGGTGGCTTTTTTGGTCTGTACCGCGGCATTGTTCCAGGATCAATCAGGAGCTTCATGTCAAATGGAACATCTATGATTGCCATGAGCTGGGCCCAAAGAAAAGTGTCCCAGTGGGGCCTCAGAGGATGACAGTGTCTGGAGTGAAGCAGGAATATAATTTATATACTTAATTAAGAAGACTGCAAACATTCTTGTCTTCACGGATGGTAGCTGGGAGGGACTATTTTTAAAATCTAGTGATCTGGTGTTTCGACGGTGGCGCATTAACAGTTAACATCCAGAAGAAAAAGTTAGCCACCGTTTTTTGCAGATCAGAAGTCCTGACTGATAAAAAAGTCTCTTCCAGCAACTAACTCTGTCTGACTAAGAAGTAACAAAAGAACCAATCAGAGAATCGGATTTTGGTCACTTGATCGAATTGGACCTTTCCGAGAGTCACGTGACTTTGACTTTGATTGTAACTTCAAATGAGGAATAAGGCAAACAAGGCACTGCTAGCGGCTGATATTATAACCTTTGGCAAGCAATGCAAGGGAAACAGTCTTATCCTTCCTCTACTAGCTCACCAGTAAGCACTAATCGCCCATCCTCACATTTTCCTAAATGCTAGTTTCTGAATACTTATTTGAACGTGAGAGAGGATTTTGAATGTAGTTTGTATCTATTTATGGATTTATTTATATATTTTTTTAGAAATCTGGTTTACAATCAGTCCACACAAAAAGGTTTCTTGGAAAAATATAACCCATTAAGTAAATGGTGAGATAAGCCAATGGTCACTGGTTAAAATAATGGATTTTCAGTAGTACTCCTGAACAACAACTTCAATGTAATAAGTTTTGGCAATAAATTCGCAATTGAAAGGGACAAAATTCATAAGATTTTCTTCAATTAAACTCCGCAACGCCACTGGCGACCGAAGTTAATTATTCCGGCCTGATCTTTTTACAGAAAAGGTTTTTAATGAGTATTTTTGCGAGCCGTGTATCTTTACTTCTAAGTTACAGTTTATTGCACTAAAAAAATAAATTCTTTAGTTGGCTTATTTCCAATTATTTTCCACTTTGGGGCTTGGCGTTTAATCGAGAAAGTGTGATAAATATGAAAGAAAAAAAAAGAAAGAACAATTTTAAATCCGACTGCTAACCAGTTGAATCATATAATAGGGAATATTGCTAACTTAGCACCCCTATCTTTTTTACAGGGCGGAAGGTTGCGGGTTTGATTCCAGGGACCGGACCAATACTCATTGTGGTCTTCAAATAACGGAGGAAGAAGGCACAGTCTTTGCTCTGCAAACAGAGTAGACTTTCATGTGGTTCGAATGGCCACACAAAAACAGGGGTGGGGGGGGGGTCGTCTCTATCATGGGGTGGGGGGGGGTGTACTGGACGCAGCGGCCAATACAATTGTTGTTGTGAAAAAAAAAAAGAGGGAGGGAGCGCGTCGGTTTTGATAAAACAAATTGTTTTGGTTGGTGGGGGGGAAGAAGGACAAAAGGGGGGGGGGGGGGGGGGGGGGGGGGTCGTCTCTATCAGGACAGGTAAAAAAAGTTTTCTCAAGTAGTAATTGCGTGCCAATTACCTTGACACTTAGATAAAGTACGTTTTTTGAGCAACTCCGGATCTTCACTGGTATTTCTGTGCATTCTTTTAGTTCAGCCATTTTTTTGTCTTGGCATAACAGGAGAAATCTTCTGCCTACGAGTACGGGTGTGTGAACATTTTGCAACGTAGTTTGATCCCATGCCATTCAGAGTACAGCCAATCAGAAGCAGATATCGACAGAAAAAAAAAGTTTTGAAAAAATTAGCCCGCGAAAACATCCGTTTCTCCTGGCTCTTCGCCACTGGTGACGTTTCGCGCGGAACGTGCCCAGCGGCGAAGAGCGAGGAGAATTGCGAGAAACGGATGTTTTCGCAGGCTAGAAAAAAATTAGACTACGAGTAGTCCCCCATTTTTCCTCAGGGATAGTAGAGCGAGCGAAACACAGGTCGCCTTTTTCTCGCGTGGGGTGATTTTCACGCGCGCTCGCGTTTCGCTCGCTCTACGATCCCTGAGGAAAAATGGGGGACTACTCGTAGTCTAGAAAAAAATTTGTTGACGAAGCTTTGTCAACAAGAGATCTGGGTACGAGATTAAATCCTGGACTGTGGGTTAGACTGTGGGACGATATTGGCGTTATACCTTATGACACTTACATGAGGACTGTCATGAAAAGTTTGAGAAGAACAACTCGGTTTAATACACACAATGGAAGACGGCAACCCGGTGATAGTTGCAGTGGATGGAAGTGAACACAGCAAGAAAGCCTTTGAATGTAAGTTATACATGATTACTAGACTGTTCTTTGTCATAATTTCTTTTGTATTTCAAAATGCTGTACGAAATTTCGGGAGTTTAATAATTAATGTTGATCACGAAAACGTGCTTCGTGACATGAAGTTTGCTTTTTATTAAATTTGCTTCTTTTATTCCGCAAAAAATTCATGGCTCCGATTAGCTTAACGTATTTGGGTGAAAACGTAGAGTTCGTAGATAAAAATGTCTTTCCTTCTCTTCAATTTACTCGCTAGACAGATCAGACTTTACCAGTTTAAAAGTTATATACAGGTAACTTACTTTTTTTCCCTGAAGCAGCCAAAAAAGGGAAGCTAATGCGCTAATTTGAGGGCTTAGATTCTATTCCTTCCATCATAAGAGGCTGTGAATATTATAAACACTGACACAGTGCACTTCATTAAGTTCACTACCCAGACTCCAGGCCGGGGCCATGTTGGAAAACAAGAATACTCTGGGGACAAGGTTGCGGGAAGTTAAGGAGGCTCGTACCCATTTTTCTAGGTCTCATCCCTTTGTGTTTGATGCTTCACAACTTTGGCCGTAGAGCAAGTACGGAAAAGCCAGAAAGTGAAACATGTTTAACATTGAACTTACTTTTAGGTTAAGTTTTGTTGACATTCCTTCTTTCTTAGCAACAGAATAACGATGACATGAAATTTACAAATTGGGAATTTTCTCAAAATCTAGCAAATATATTGTTTCACTTTGTGGCTTTTCTGTAGATGCTTTACAGCCAAAGTTATGGAGCATCAAACACGCAGGGGTGAGACCTTGAAAAATGGATGCAAGTCTCCTTAAAACTGGTGCATCAGAAAATTTGCAGTTCTGTGTCCACTTCATTAATTTATGGGGAGCTCCACCCCTCCATTGCTTGGGTAGATTTAGAGGTAGTTAGGGGAGGTAGGAAAGGAGCTGCAGCTCTCCCTTTGGTGTTTGAATATAAATTTCATTTATTTGGACTAGTGGGACAGTTTGGGACCAAGCAGAGATCATGCAATGCCTGTGTTGCACAAAATATTGTATTGCAGAGGTCATGAAACTAAACATAGCCAACAGATAAAATATTTTAGTAGAAATACGGCATGAATCACAGAACCTCGCAAAGCAAACAAAAAAACAAATAAAGAAAAAAAAAGCAAAACAACAATGACAAAAAATAGTCCTCTTAGAGGACATGAACGTACTGGCATTCAGTAGCCTGTGCTCCAGTAAACAAGCGCAGAAATTCCATACTGATGACTCGTCACTACCCAGATCTGGGTAGTGACGAGTCATAAGTAAGGAATTTTGGTGCTCGTTTCTCAGAGATGTTATTTTGTGGGAAAACCTGCAGTGGTGGCTTCGCGAAATGTCGTCTGTTTTCTCCTAATACAGTAAGCTTTTGTAAAGTACATTTCAATCAAACCAATAATTTTCATTGGGTATTGACATTATGCCTTTCTTGTTCCATCTTGCATAAAAGTTTTCATAGTATTATTATTTGGAAATAAATCAATGAACTTATAGCTTATAATTTCTACTTTCAGGGTACTGTGGAAATTATCACAAGCCAGATGACCAGATTGTTTTTGTACATGCCATCGATTCTGACAAAAGACCAATCATTATGCATCCCCGTATGTATATATATTTGAGAATATTATTGAGCTGTAGGATGGTGTTTCTTTTAATTTTTACAGCATTATTTTGAATTTTTCTTAGATGGGATGTCATATCGTGAAAGTTACACAAGTTGGTTTGAGAAGTGCAAAAGTGATGAAGAGCACATGATGAGCTCATTTGCTGACATTTGCAGAAATAAAAAGGTACCATTAAACCCTAAAGTGGGTAAACTGTGGAAATTTGGGTGGGTGCAGCAAGGAGTGAGGAGAGAGAGCTGTATTTGCAGGCTATGGATCAGGCTACAAAAATAGTGAAAAATCATTTCCAGTTTCAGGCCCAGCTATTCTAAATTTGTTTAAGAGAGCACAAATGCTTATACCCAACACCTGACCAGAATCGGTGGTTATCAAACATTATATGTAGATAAAAATTCGGATTTGAGACTGGAAGGAGTAAAAAACAACACATTTTGGCACGTATCATTGATAATAATACCCATGCATAAGTAGTTAATACAAGAGTTTCGAAGCCAAGGGCTGAATTTCTCAGTGTGTCTTGTTATTATATATTCTGGGTTAACTATCAAAAGAGTATGAGTCATCATCCTCAGCTGTGCTATTCATCCTTCAAACAACTTGATGCAGAGGGTTTTGGGTTGATCGTTTAACTGAAGTCTGGAGATTATGCAATATTTTCTTTGCAGGTACAGTTATAAGGTCCCCTTGGTGGACCTTATAACTGTACCTGCCAAGAAAGCTGAGCATTTAATTCACATGGATTAAAAGTGTAGAGAAATAGTGAAGACAGAACCGCTTTAATTTATATTTCTTTAGTTTGAAGATGTAGTCAAGAAAGTAGAATAATATAATAATAATAATAATTATTAAGTATTATGATGATAACCAAAACAAATGAAAACAACTCATGGCAATATAGTTTATTTTAATAATAATTATTAATAATTTAATATTACTAAACTTGAATGAAAAATTCGCTGCATATAATACAGTTTGAACATCTCTACAACCACAATTCACTCTGTAATTCACTCTTCTATTCAGGGATTTTGATATTTTGCACGGTCATGGAGCTGAAAAAAATTCAGGTAAATTCACCAAAAATGCAAAACACTGCGAAATTCGATAGAAATCTTATGAAATACATGTCTGTACAACATATTTGAAACTTGTCTCAGCTATTGGGGCTGTCTAGTTGCTGTAAAACTTGCAAATTTATCTTGAAACTTTGTCACTGAAACGTGCAAATAACGTCCCAAAACTACATGGTGTAGATTGTGTTGCGAAAAACTGGGCACTAGCGATGATGTTAAAGGCCCTGCCATTGGTTCATTTCTGGAGCATATTGTTAATGAAAGAGCAAGTGATGACCTCTGTTAGAAAAACGATAAAAATGCTGGTCTGATCAGAACAGAACTGATCAATTTCTAGCGAAATTTGCCCCCAAAATAACCACAAAATCGGCTGTATTTTACTGATTGCTTTTCACCGAAGTTTGCCCCGAAAATTCCCGCAAAATCAGTAGATTTTTCCGCGAATTTGTCCCTAAAAGTCCTGCGAAATTTGACTTTTGTTCCCGCGACCTGTCAGAAGCCCTGTCTATTTACCCACAGAAATTATAAAGAAAATGACTTGTCTTACATTTTTGTTACATGCTGTCTTTGGGTCACTCTTGTAGTGCAACTATAAAAAGTGAAATTGAAATTGTATTTATCATTACCATAATTATTATAATATTATTATTATTATTATTATTACATTGCATTTGTCTAGTTTTTTTGGGACAATACTGTCAGTGTTTTTTCTTTATAGTGTTTGCAAAAAGAGGATCAGGTTACAGATGAACGAGGCCCTCTTGGGGGGGGGGGGGGGGGGGGGGGTGTTTGTGGAAAAAATAAAAAAGTAATATTTTAATTTTTTTTTTCTTTAATAATATTTTTAAAATTTTTTTTTTTTTTTTTTTTATTTTGGGGTTTTGTTTTTTTTTTTTGGGAAAATGTTGTTGTTTTTTTTTTTTTTTGGGGTTTGAAAAAAAAGGGAGGGGTTAAGGGGGAAGGGGGGCCTTGGGGGGGGGGGGGGGGGAAGGGGGTATGATGTTAATCCCTAGTCTGAATTTCAAAACTGGTTGTTTTGCGTTTTGAGATGGCGGTCATTATCCTTTTTTCTGTGGCAGTTTCAACCAATCTTCATGTCGTTTGTTGCCATTTCTTCTGTCTTTCAACGCCATGTGACTTGCTGGAATTTTAGCCTATCAGGGCCTCAATCTGAACACAAAAGCATGACCTAACTGTGCCACTATTGACAAAAGCTGAAAAGAAAAAGATTGTACTATTGTTACCATTGGTGTCATTATTCAATTCTTGTAAGCCATTGACTTTAATTCAAAATGGAAAATTATTTGATACCCATGTTTGTTGTCACATACAGTAAATAAAAAGGCACAGTTAACAGCTGTGCTCCAGCAGTACCCAGTGGCCTGGCTCGCACCTTTTAATTACTTTTACTCTTGGGAGACTAAGAAATCTTAGTTTATTCATAGAAGTCGTATGCTGGGGACCCTGGATTTTATAGGTTTAGAGTACTGGGCTCCATTCAGGTTTTCTAAAAGCACAGTAGCCTTGCCACTGAATATGCAAAATTAAGGAAAGAACACTCCCTAGCAAATTGTAAAGCAGCACAAATAAATGAATCCAAACTGGTTTTGTTCTGTTTAACTGTTACTAGATGAACTTCAAGCTGGTTACAGATGTTGGTAGACCTGGAGAAGTGATTTGTCAGACCGCAAAAAGAGAAAAAGCCAATCACATTGTGATGGGTAGTCGAGGATTAGGGACTGTACGACGCACACTTCTTGGTAGCGTTAGTGACTACACTCTACACCATGCTACTGTCCCAGTTTCAGTGGTGCCACCATTGTGCCAAGATTAGGCAGAAGTTCAATTAGATACTTACACTGTATCTTTATTCAGTGAATTTACTTTTATTAGTTATCCTGTGAAACAATGGAAAATATTGTTACCAATTTGTTAGTGACTTTATATTGTGCAATGCTACAGCACAGCCTTATGCAGTATTTTTGTATTGGTTCTGAAGAAAACATGAAAGATACTCTGTGTGTATACTGGTAGTATAAATTTGTTTTCTGCAATTCTTTGGAGAAGAAAATTTCATAGCTCATTTTACCTACCAGAGACATTGAGGATTCTTTCTTTCTTAGCTGTTCCATGAGTTGTGGTAATAGAAAAATAAAATAGAGAGAAAATTTAAAGTTTTTGAGGTAAATAAATATTGTAATATTTTGCTCATTTTCAGTGCATTTTTCCACTCCTTGTTTGGATTTTTTTTTCTAATTTTTCTGTGGAAACGTTTGGTTGGCAAACACATTTTTCAGTTTCTTATATGATAGGACAGCAGAATATTGCAATTCAATATCACATATTGAGCATATTGCTCCATAAATATTATTGTTAAAGGGCCATTCTATTGAGAATAAATCAAGTAATGAGTAAAACATATCCAGAGTCCTAAAGCCTCTTAGTTAGTAGGTAGTCTAACTGTTACCTCTGGTTGTTTGTTATATTTAATATACATGTTATTATATACATACTGAGAAATACTCACCAAAAAGCTATGTCGTAAATTTTCGTACGCAAATTAGTTCTAGCCAATCAGAGGAGCGAACGATGGTTTTCACACGTGAAAAAAAATGATACGTCCAATCAGAATCGCGAACGATGTTTTTTCACGTGTGAGAAAAATGATACGTCCAATCAGAAGGCACAGAGGTGTGTGGGTTTCGCGCCAAAATTGCCGCCTTTTATTGC